TGGAGCTGATTACTGCATGTGATCTTCCCAAGCTGGAAAGATTAGGCATTAGGGAGAAATTAGACTGTAATTTAGCATTTATTATCAAAGGGCTGGGAGACTTACTCCAGGCGACCCACCTGTTCCAGTGCTGTCTGCTCCTGAAGTGGTATTCAGCTGTATATCCCTCCACAGCCTGACATGAGTTCAGACTGAACGCGGTTTCCCAGTTCACTGCAAGTCACTTACAAGCAGCCCATATCTCAGCGCCGGCACTGTAACAGGAGATGGGTGCTAAGAAAGACACTAGGAAAGGCTGTGTGCTTCATACAGAGAGCACATAGACAAGAGGAGCACGGAAAGCAGAACATGCTGACAAAGGGGTAGAGAAGGCTGCAAACTGGCTTGGACGTTCTCTGGGCAGGAGACAGTTTCGATATCTGTAGTGTCAATTAGACCAGAGGGCAAGTCCTTGGTCCAGTATCAGAAATAGAGGTGGGTGATTTCTTCTCTGATGGGTGCTGCACATTGCCATAGCAGTGCCAAATGGCAGCACCTGCAGCAAACTCTGCCTTTATCCTGCACCGCTCCCTTTCCAGAGCAGATGGAGATGCCCACACAGGACACAGCAACAACAGCTACGTGTGAGGCTGGAATGGGTACCCCTCCTGGAAGAGGCCTTGGTCCTCGCTCTGCTGTCAAGTCTTCATAGGAAACTCCTTCTTGGATGTGCTTCTCGTATCTGCCACACACAACTCACAAGAGCACTGTAAGACAGCCTGCTTTGTAACTTTAAGGACTTGTACAATGTTTCAAAGCAGGACCTCTTACACGCAACAGCGGCTTCAAGGGCAAAAGCCTGTTTCACTCAGTCCCTGTAGCACCACATCATGTGATTTTGAGAAATGGAGATATGTTGTCTGCAACATTAAAGGTTCAGGATGATTCCTGTGCCTTCTCACAATCCAGTCAAGGCTCACAGCTGCTGTGCTCTCAAAATATGCAGCAATAAATCACAACTGTTACTCCAGATGACTTTGAGAAGCAAGGGATAACTTCTGCATCCAGGGGTGCAAAGGCAGAGAACTATTCCCAGCTTTCACAAGGTCATGTCCCAGATTTAAACACAAGATCTTTCCCAGTTAAGCCAAGCATCATACCATAGGCTGACAGATAGTTTTCCAAGGAAATTTGAATCATGACAACAGGTACGTTGGCAAAACACACGAGTTATTCTAAGCACTTTAGGGATTAAACTTTGGGATCTCTCTGATCCTCTGGCAACAAGTCTGTTAGTCTAGGACCTCTCACCCAAAACGAGAATCAGATCCATAAGTCAAGACATTTCCTGCTCAACCCGGAACCATTATTTGAAATGCCTCCCCAAAATGTGAGCTGCTCAAATGACATAGCATCTGAAAACGCAACGGACAGTCCTGTGCTATCATTGACATGAACTTCAGATAAGATTCAGAGTTTTTGGACCGCTCTCTATCTGTCAGGATATTAAAGAGAGTTTTGTAACTTTACAGAATTCCACTGATTTTAGTGAAGTCATAGCTCCAAATACTGAACTCTGCACATAAAAATGGTGCCAGTGAGGTTGGACAAAAGTGCCAAGATTCATTAGGCTGCAAAAACCACACACCATCATTTAGTTATTTCATCAGCTAAAGAAACATTGGCTGGAAATCCCATGCCAGCTGGTGAGAGCCCTAAGAAAGCTTTGCAGTGGTCCCAAAGGGGTAAAAGAATTGCATTAGGCACACCAAAGATGTTTTCACAGTTTCTTACTGTTCACCTGAGCAGAAAATCATTAACATAGGAAGGACATGATGCAGCAGAGGGAAGGAATGCACTGACACAGCATGCACCTTTAGGAAGCTTCAGTTGTGTTTGGGAAGCAATTTGAGATCTAAACTGATGTTTCCCTCCCTATCTGGCTACAGGGAGCAGAGCCAAATGTTGTTAGCAAGTTTTAAGCTGAAGGACTACAATGTGGAAAATGTGCGTGAACAAAGAGTTTGCTATTCAAAGGAATACTCCCTTTATTTCATACAGGAGTTGAGGGGGAACTAGGAAAAAAGGCCTTGCTAATTTGAACTATTCTGTGAAGACACAGGAGTTAGGAAAGATTATAAGTGAATTATAGACTGGGACAGACTGAACAAAGGCTTACAGAACATCTGTAAACAGCCATGGCAAGATCTGGAGGTTTGTATTCCTGGACAGGTCCACCCAAACTGTTTGCTTGGATCACTGGAAAAGAAAGGGAAGAACTTTGGCACTAAGAATAAAGGCAGACACTGTTTGGAGAGCAAAGCACTGGGAAAGATAAGGTTTGCCTTTGGAAGTATGGCAGAAAAGGGTTATAGATGATTAGCATTGTTTATGTTGGGGTAATCTGGTTACAGTAAAATTTAATGGTTCTTTTTAAATCAAGCAGAAAGCCCAAGAGAAGCCTAAAAAAATCACAGTAGATTTGGACAGTTCAAAAATAAACAGATCCATGGTCTGTTATCGTCTAGTATTCATAAAAAGGTCCTGAACAAGGCACATAAAGGATGAGAAGTTTGTGAGCAACAAGGTAACTGTGAAGAGGAGACTAAAGAATCATAGGATAATTCAGGTTGGAAGGGATCTCCCAAAGCCCCTAGCCCTACCTCGTGCTCAAAGCAGGGTCAGCTCTGTGGTCACACTAGGATGCTCAGGACTTTATCCAATATCATCTTGAAAACCTCCAAGGAGGAGACTGCACAGCCCTACAGCATACCTGATACAGTTATTCACTGCCCTTCTGGGGAAAAAAATTTTCCCTTATATTGAACTAGAGTCTCTCTCATTTTAAGTTATGCCTACTGTCCTCTCCTGATACAATGTGAAGAGGTGGGTCTGACTTCTCAGTGACCTCCATGTAGGTATTAGAAAGCTTGTACTGGGTCCTTCCAAAGCCACCCTATGCAGGCTGAATGCACCTGGCTCCCTCAGCCTCCCTTCATGGGGCACCTGATCCAGTGCTAACCACCTCCGTGCCTCTCGGCTCACCTCCCAGGCCCTGGGCAACCTGCCCTGGCAGCCGGGGCAGATGTTCGCCGGGCCAGGGGCTGCCGTGGACGGAGAGTCGGCCCACGCCCTTCCCAAGGCGGCCCGGAGGCCTCCTCGGCCC